CCAAACATAAAATTTTGAGAAAAATATAAAGGTCAACATTTCGCCATACTTTTTAAAACTATGTGCATTATTATGCACCTTATTGTACAGAAAATAAAAAGTACTTACCCTTATCTTCAAAATCCATCACACAAATATTTGGTCACCATAGTAAAAAATAATGTCAGGTGTTGTCGAAAGTCGAGCAAAATTAGGAATTAAAAATTACACTATCCTCATATCCTCACTTACCCTGTTAATTACTCACGACTAGGTAATTAACAAAGTAAAAAATTGTGGAATCCTTAATGTCTGGGATGTTGTTTATCGTTTTTTATAAACGATAATCAGAAATTCAACAATGACTTTTGTCCAGCTAGCTTGTTCTACACGAATCACAGTGCACCGCGATGGCCCCGCGCGTGCCAGAAAATTCAACATTCAGAGACAACAAGAAGTATCTGTCTAAAGACTTACTTATATTGGTTTATAGAACTCACACAGCTCTTAGACAGAGCGATTATTTCGGGAATTGGAAAAATTCACCTTTCTCCGATAACTCCCAGAAAAGGATTACCTACGAAAATGTAACATTAGTAACCCTTTACAGGTAAATTTCCATATCAAACTTTGAAAACAACTACTTTCATCGGCATATTATTTATTATATTATCGCCCCGTTTATCGCAGGCTCATTACCGCAAAAATAAAATCGTCTACACTCTTAATCACAAACCAACACATAAATCAGATCCGAGCGAGTGGCGTGGATAAACATTTTCTGCACTCGGTGAGCGGATTCACTTATCTAATTATCCAATTGCCAAAGCGGCCTCCATGGCGTCCCACCACCACAGCGTAGGCCGCACCGGTAGCATCTCCTTGAGAATAATTACCATAAACACAAAATGTTTATTGTTCTATCATTTCCTTAGTATACTAAGGTAAAGGTAGAGTCGTTTTCATAAAATAAAACTAATTAAATACTTCCTCGACACGGGTTCCGTAGGTAGACCAATCACCACGTTGAACTCAAACCCTCCCTCACGCAGTATAATGAACACAGTAGGTACATACACTGTAGATACTTACCACTAACTTTTTTTACTTTCTTCTGATTAATTTCGTTGCGAGTCCAATGACAGTTTAACGTTCCCCGGGACAAACTTGACCTTCACTGGTCCTGGCTACACAGCAGTTGCAGCGGTGGGAATAGTCTCGTTTAACTTTTTACTGTGCTTCAGATGAGAAATAGCCGCATATTTTTTAAAATAAATGCGCGAGTCTACTGTGTACCGCTGTGCTGGCTCGCGGTAGTCCATTAGCGACTCGCCGCGAGTTCGTCAATGGATGCAATCCAGGATTCGCAATTAGCTGCGGCGGTAATGACTCCCGCAATCCCACGTTCATTTCGGCGTATCATCCCGGGAATATTCGAAACCTTCCTGTGACTTCGCTGTGTACGCGCCTGTTTGCTTGCATGTGATTTAGCCCTAGTCCACCATAGTGCGGTAGATACTTATTTGTATTTATCAAAAACATTTACATTACAATATTCATGAATTTTGAAACTGTCAATAAGTTATTCAATAAAGAATTTATTTATTTATATAATGTAGTATTCTAGGTAATATTATGGCATTGGTCATTTTATTTATGTACTAATTCAGTATTTTTATACATATACTATTTCAGTATTTTGCGAAATGGAACTATTTCGCCCAAGGTGTAGTCTCAGCCTTACTTTGGCAAGTTTGAAATGAGAATATGAGGCGATGTGGGGAACATGCGGCCATGATGCGGCGCTGCGCAGTTCGGAAACAGAATGCAATGCTCAGCAATTTTCGGAACGGGCCAATTTGTGAAATACCTGCTAGTTACTCGAAAATTAGTAAATTAATTGAAACGCTGTGCATTTCGGCGCATCATACCAGCAAAACTCCGCAATGAAGTCTGAATTAGGAATGGCACGAATTCCATTTGCTGTTCCAATGTGGAATCTAGCGAATGTTTCCGTATGAAACTATGTGCTAATTGCAAAATTGAGATGAGCGCGATTCGAATTCACATTAAGGTTGATTTGGCACAGCTTCGAATACTTGTCTAGATTAATAAAGTTCTATTTCATTTATTGGATTATATTTTAATGAGATGATAACAATTATACCTACGTCTATATTATTCTGACGTAAAAAGTGTTTCTCGGTTCCATTTTTTTCTTTAGCTGTTCTATATTATAATATTCGTTAGTAACCTGTCCCACACTAAACTCGGACCAACAATAACGATCTGTTGCCGAAAATGTTGCAAAATCCACCAGGAATGCTGGCTTACGCCAAATTAAAGCCCACCAGGCTTGGCCAGCGGTCCACGGGAAACAAACTTTGGAGAAGCGATGACACTGCGGTGGACACGCCAAAATAAAATAACACTTTTAATTAGTTGCGCTGAAGCGAAGCTGGGTGCTCTTTCATTTTGCTCTTATTGCTTTACTCAAACCCTCTTTGAAGAAGGAAGAGTTAAGCTTCTTATTTTTCAGAGCAGATTTTTATTAATGTTTTACCAAATGCCCATCTAAAAATTATAGTTCCTCCTTCGAAAGAATATTAATTGAGACAAATTAATCCGGAACTAATTAATCTGATTTCGAAATCGGAACTTTTGTCTTTTGGACCTTATCGTCCGGCGTCGATCCGTCAACTGTCAGCAACGAAGTAACGTGGATTTTAGACTGAATATTGTACAGAGTAAGGTTGAGTTTGCCGCTTCGCGTGCGCAATGTCACCTTGGGCGGGCGGAATGCGCTGGCGCGGCTCCAGCGCGATGTAGGGCGGGCGGTGCACGCGAGCTGCACGCTACTACACTTATTCTTTTACTATTGCTACTGAGATTATTTTGATTGAATATTTTATTACATTTAATAAAACAGGGATTTGAAATCTTATTTGCAAGATCATTACACTTCTTTTCTAGTTATCGACCCGCCTCAATTCTACAGACCGCTGACTGGCTTTTCTCTTAACGCTTTTGCCAGCTTCTCGTTAGTTAATGAGAAAAGACCAAGCAATTTCTGTCGCCGGATTTAATAAAAGAATAACTAGACAACTTGCAGAAGATGCAGATATCTTTTTTGGTAAATAATATTCCATCGTCCCACTTCGTGAACTTCTTACTTTGGTGGGTACATTTTTATTATGAAAAAAATCATTGCTAAATAATGAGTGATTATTATTCATGTAAGCGGTTTAGAGATACATATAAATGATAATAACTAAGTAGATACCTAATATCTCGACTCGACACTATTTTCCGATTCAATATCCTACTTTGATAAAAAAGTAGGTATTTAAATAAATCCACGCTTCTAAAAGATTAAAGTAATTATTTGTGATGGCCAGCTACCGGGAATTCGTGTAAATTGAAAAGCGATGGCGACTACAAGGGGATTAATATTTTCAATGGACTTTTTATCGCATTAAAATGGAGCTTATTTTTTACGTAACATGCAGGCAACGCTGTTGTCATCGAATCTATTAAGCTTAATCCTACCATTACGAGTATTATGCTTTTAGAAATATTACTGATATTACTTCGTTGGAAAATAAGCACTAGACTACATGCTTACATCATTACTACATTAATACTTTTAATTAAAACGAATTTATTTAACTATACGATTTGCAAAATATGTTTACCTCAACATATAAAACTTACTAATTAAATATCGTCTAATACAATGTAAGAGCGTAGTAAGACTGATAACATTATTGACTGTAACTATGTCAGTAGTGTAGAAGGCATATCAATCCTAATCCAAATCCATCCGTCAACTGTCAAAGTTCATTTCAATAATATTTTTTTGGTCAAAATATGTGCGGTTTTCGATGTTTTTACATTTTCATATTGTCTAAGACTATTTAAACAATATAAAAGTGTAAACGCATCGAAAATTGTGGATATTTGATAGTTGAAATCCGGATTTGAACAAGAATTGAATATGGGAAATGGGCGTTAAATTGTTGAATCAGCTTCGTTTATTTCAATACAACAGCTGGCTCGTGTCACCGCCAAGACACCCTTCCATCAGTTCAGAGGGCCGTGCTCATGGAGTGGATACCAAATGGTTTTACGATGCGATGCGTAATTCCACCTACTGTAGATCAGAAAATTCTGTGGGTGTTCTACATTACAAGAGTCCCTTCAAGCCTAGGAGCAAACCACCGACTTTTGGTTGGTCGATACTTAGCTGGGACCAATTTTAATTTATATGAAGAATCGGTCGATAACTCGGTGTAGTGTGCGCACTTTCGTACGTCATACCTATTCATAATGATTGACTGCCCGACTAAACTATCGGCCAACAAAAAAGGGTCTGCGCCTAGGCTAACTTTGACACGATTGCAGTTTCTTTAGTTTGGAGCGAAGCTCGTCCCTACAGTTCCAGGTTCAGAAAACCAGAAGGCTTGTACGGAGGCTTCCGAGATCCGGATGTTTTATTATAGATGGCTCGAATTGCTTGTATTTGTACCTGAGTATTTCTCAAAATAAATGTAGGTAAGTATATCTTTGAAAAAAAAGTGTGCTTTGTAACAGTCCAAAAGTTTTATTTAAAAAAAAACACAATTTTGAAGGATGAATATTAATCTTTAAGATAACGAAGAATTATAGCTATAATCCTACTTATTACCAAATATTTAGATATTTTAAAAATAGTCCTTTTTTACCTTCCATACAAAAACCTGTTAGTCATCCACCTTTTTCATGTGTTTTTGTTTCTTAAAATGCTATACGTAGGTAACTAAAATTGTACTTTGTATTATCGTTCTACTGTAATCGCAGTTTCTGTATCAAATTGATTTTCTACGGTGTGTCATAACGAATTGGCAATTTAAAGCAAGAAAAAACAAAATGAGTCGCTCTCATTTACTATTTATTTCTACTTTCCCATGATTTCTGAACGATTCCGTAATTTTTTTACACGGACAACACTAGCTACACGCTGAATGGCTGTTGGTCTGACGTCTCCGCCATTACATCTATCGCGAAAATCAGTGAAAACGTGTGTGTTCCACAAAGGGATTACTTTTTCGAGACAGGAAGTAAATTCAGCAATTTTTCATAGAACGGTAAGTCTTCATTAACCCATTTTTTGTAATACGTATGGTACGAACATTTATTAAGCTTTTATATTTGCTGTTAACAGCTTTTATAACAAAAAAACACTTTATTTAACCTCATTTTGTCTAATATTTCGTAACGTTTTTTACGAATTTCGTTACGTAACGAAAAAGTACAACATAATGCTGAGTGCATACTGACTAAGCATAGTAATATTCACTACTTAATTTATTTAAAAAAATATAGTGCGTCAATAACAAAAGGATTGGATATAATATCTGCTTTACAGAAGTGCCACCAGCAAAAAATAATCATATAATTTAGATTATGTTTTTATGTGACTTAACAGCTTTTTACCCCTGATATTAGATACTTACATAAAATATGCTTAAAAAAAGGAGGAAGTTCTCAATAGAACTTCCTCATTTTTGAAGTCGGTTAACAAGCCTCGTGACTGTTTCAATTCGCTTGAGAATATAATTATACCGATTATTACAAATACTTAACTCTTGCTAATGACACTTCTGTAGAGATGGCAAATACTTGTTGGTGATTATTTAAAACTGCACAACTGCATTACTTCTTTTGTTTTTTTTAGGAATGCCGCCAAAAACCAATGCCGAAAGGCAAAAAGCTTACAGAGAACGACTTAAAAAGGATAAACCAAGTAAATATGAGGAAATCCGTGTCAAACATTTGGAAAAAGTTAAAGAAAATATCAAAACGAAAAAAGCAATTCTTACAGAAGAAGAAAAACAAGAGCTACGTGCAAAGTGGAGACAAGCCAATGCTAAAAGAGCAGAAGAAAGAAAGAAAAAGGCCTACTCTACGACAAAACAAAACAAAACATTAGAAGTAAGAAAAAATGCAAAAGATAATACAACAATCCTAAAGGAGAGACTACAAAAGCTTACTGAAGAAAATACTCAATTAAAACGACGAAATAAGAATTTAAGACAGGCCTGTAATCGGTGGAAAAAGCGAGTGGAAATACTGCAAAAACGACTACCCCAACAAAGTAGACCTGATGATGATGCTATTGAAGTGACGTCACGTGACATTTCAACTCAATATAATACTGTATTTTACTGTAATTATTCGATTATGAAAAAAAATAAAAAATAACGGTCCTAATTAATTTTTATCTGTCTGACGGACTAAATAGAATTTCGATTTCATTACCCAGTCATCATACCTATTATCAGATAATTATCACTGCGGAACAAAAAAAAATAAAAAATCTGCGCCATCTATTTTGTTAATTAATGGTTTTTTGTTTGGATTGACTCTGTTTCTTGAGATAAACGAGACGCACAAAGAGAGCACTAATGACATCTGTGATTTTCAACTGAAACTGTGATAATGTTTAATGCTAGTAAAAGCGACTACAGTAAGCCTCAGACTCAAACCACAACTCCGTGCATGATGCCAAAATTCGTACGGTAGTTCCTTTTGTACATGGTAGATGGCGTTAGTAGTCAACAGGTCCGGAAAAACTATTTTTGTATTGCACTGTAATATCTAAAACATGCAATAAAATACAGCAATGTTTCCATCATAATTTGAACATACTTTGTCGGTTACTCAATCGTCTGTTACGGTAATTAACAGCTACCTTGTACGAACGCTAACACCTAACATAATAAATCGATCAAAGTCGCATTTGGCAGATGCGTCAACAATAAATATGATCATCAACAATGCGTGTGCCAAAGGTCGCCTCCGATAGACGATGGTAATCGAAATCCTATCGATCAATCGGATCGGGAGGTGCGCGGGCGCGGCGCGGCGAGTTATTCCCAGCGCGGGGGGCGGGCGGCGGCGCGGGGCGCGGGGCGCGGCCGGCGCTCAGTGTGCGGGCGCGCGTCGCCGCCGCCATGGGCAACCAACACTCCGCCTCGCACGCCACCCTCAAGCCCCGCAAGAACGTCCACTGGAAGTCCGCAGGTAACCCTCGCTCCACCAGCCGCGCCGAGCGCGCGCCGCAAGCACGCCCGGCCCCCGTCCTCCGAGCTATTTTTAAAAACACTGCGCGCTCCACGATTCCTAAAGCGTGGCACAACAAAACAAATCGTAAGACCAGTCGCGTTCATGTAACGATAATTACGCGTCTAATTTTGTAAGGAGTTTTATGCCAAATGACTCCCATCCAGACGCCGAGGGGCACAACGGTGCTACTAAACGATGACCGTATGTTATTCCAGGTCGGCCCGCGGTGCCGGGGAAGCCCGACATCATCCCGATCTTGTCGGACGACGAGCCGAACGCGATCACGCTGCGATGGGCCCCGCCGGTGCACGACGGCGGCGCGCCGCTGCACGGCTACCAGGTGGAGTGCAACCGCCTGGGCTCGCACGACTGGATCCGCACCTCGCCGCCCGTCGTGCTGCGGCCCGAGCTGGTGCTGTCGGGCCTGGAGCCGCCGCACCGCTACCAGTTCCGCGTGGCCGCGCTCAACGCCGTCGGCCGCTCCGACTACAGCGAGCTCTCCGACGTGCTGACCGTCAGCTTCGAGCGCGGCGTGCAGGAGGCGCCGGTCTTCCTGCAGCACCTCGAGGACGTGACCGTCCTTGAAAATGATAAAACCGAATTCCGCGTCACTTTCTCCGGGACGCCGACGCCCACTATCGCCTGGTTCAAGGACGACTACGAAATCTTCAGCAGCCGGCGGACTGCGATCACCACAACCGACTCGTCCAGTGTGCTCGTGTTCCATCAGACGTTGTCGAGCGACGAGGGCGAGGTCAAGTGCACGGCGACCAACCGCGCCGGCCACGCCGTCACCAAGGCGCGCCTGTCGCTGGTGGCGGCGCCCAAGCTGCGCTACCCGCGCCAGTACGAGGACGGCGTCCTCTACGAGATAAACGAAACGGTGTTCCTCAAGACGACGATAGTCGGCAAGCCGACGCCGACGGTCGAATGGCGGCACGACGGCCAGATAATCACTGGGAACGAACGCGTCGAAATTTCGAACACGCCCAAGTTTTCGATGCTTAAAATCCACTCAGCTCGCAGGAGCGACCGAGGGGAGTACCAAATACACGCCAGAAACAACATCGGGGAGGACACGGCCGCCTTCCTGGTGACCATAACGGCGCCGCCCGACCCGCCGCGGAGGGTGTCCGTCACCAGGCAGGTCGACAAGTCCGTGACGCTGGACTGGGAGCCGCCGGAGGACGACGGCGGCTGTCGCATCGGCAACTACGTGGTGGAGTACTACCGCAACGGCTGGAACGTGTGGCTCAAGGCCACCACGAGCCGCAAGACGAGCGTGACGCTCTTCGACCTCATCGAGGGCAGCGAGTACCGCTTCCGCGTGAAGGCGGAGAGCCCGTACGGCATGAGCGCGCCGAGCGCCGAGTCCGCGCCGGTGCGCATTCCCGGCCGCTCGGTGGACATGGAGTTCCTGGAGGTGGAGTCCAGGATCATCAGCGACGTGCTGAAGAAGGAGGACGGCGTGGAGGCGAAGGTGTCGCCGATGCCGCGCCGCAAGCGCCTGGCCGCCGAGCCGCCGCCGCAGCGCGCCGCGCGCGCCTCCTCCGCGGAGCCGACCAGAGACACCCAAAAAGACGAATTCATGCTCGTTCTGTACCCTGACAACAATACGACTGATAAAGCTGGTAAGCATCTTCTAAATTTTTTGGAAAATGAAGCCTGTACTAAACTACTGTCGGTTTACCTACTTCCTGTATGAACTTGTCCCGTAAATGGCTCTCAAATGATGACGAATTGTTTGAGGTTAACATGAATGAAAAATCTCAAATTCTCAATCAATAAGTCTTCTTTGGAGTGATTAATTTGTAAAGAAATTCATCCCGAAAGTGTCGTGTGACTAATGGCAATACTTAAGTGATGATCCCGAATACTAAGCGAATGTCGTTTTGCAACCTGATAAACCTATTTTATTCAATGCACATGTTTGAGCTCAGCGAATGTTTATTATTGTTTACTAAAACACTTCGCACAAAATTGGAAATGCCTAAGAATCTACGTCACAGGACATTGAACAGAACGTTTCACAGACAGCTACGCGTTTGGAATTTGTCAAATCTTTGGGTTCGGTTGTCATTTATTTCCGGCTATAATTATATACGGAAGACTGAAAATATCCATAAGATAGGGCCAGATAGTAACGGCGTGAAGACGGCGCATTCTGGCCTATAAATACACGCACGTGCGCTCGCGCAGCGTGCTCTAACCTCGATAGCGCTTCTGCGAAATCACCACTATATCGCCTTTAGCGAATTAACCCAATACAAACATTTTCACAATAAACTGAAAAATGTTCACCCAGCTAACTGCGTCTTTCAGCGAGTTCAATGAACTTGGCAACTAAATCGTCGGACGTCGGCTGGTGTGTTATGCCAAAGGTCACGGGTTCGACTCCCGGAACACATGCAAACAAATATAACAGAGGCTGCCTGCCTGGCGCTTCACCGCATATTGTGATGCCAGTAAAAATACATTAAAGACTACTTTTCGAGCTAATGAAGTGTACAAAACTGACATGACTATTTCAATTCTTATAAAATGTACCGTACGGGTTTCTATTGTTACGTATGAATCTGCGAAATATTCTATTGCACGAGTACCCAAGCTGTTCCTTATAGCATTTTCCATGCCTGTGATAAATGACACCGTAAATCACGAAGTAACGGTAAAGATATAATTTTCCAGAAAAGCGAAAGTCGTTCCAACTGGAGCTGGAGGACGCGCTGTCGCCGCCGCCGCTGTCGCTCAGCGCGCCCGAGCTCAGCGCGCGCTGCGTGCTGCCCTTCCGCGCGCTGCGCGCCGCCGTCAGCTCCACCGAGCTGCTGCACGAGCGCGCCATGGCCCGCTTCTACCGCGCCGTGGCGCTGCAGGAGCAGCAGCGGCACGACACACGCGCGCACACCGACATTCCGCACAACACTAGCCCCGAGCGGCCGGCCCGGCCGCCGGAAACCTTCAAACCGCCCGAAATCGTCATCAAACGGGACTCCGTGGACAGCACGGGCAGGGCGGTGGTCGAGCAGGCGTCGCACGACTCCGAGGCGTCGGACGGCAAGTGGCAGCACATGTCGTTCGACGAGGACTACACGGCCAGCACCGTCTCCACGGACGGCGACTACTCCGACGAGGAGGACGGCAGCCTGGACGGCGACGAGCGCCGCCGCAGCCCGGACGACGAGGACACCTACCACCCGCGCGACAAGCTGGCGCGGCCCTCGCCCGTCAAGGAGGCCGAGGAGGAGCTCGAGGAGGAGGAGTCGGAGAGAGAGGTTCTCAAGCCGCTGCCTCTTCCCGACCCTAATTTCGTCCCGAAACCCATTCTGAAACGAAGGGAATCGGGATCCACCGACTCGAACACGACCATAAAACTTGATAATGGCATAGCTAAACACGAGGAAGTGGAAAAACCTGAAATAAAAGAAAAACCCAAAAAGGAAGAAAAAATGACGATATTCAAAAAGATCACCAAAATGCCCGTGCAAAAGAGCTTTCCTTTCCCGAAGATACTTAATAAAAGCAAAGAAGCCGACAAACCGCCGGAACCGCCCGTTCAAAACAATTCTCAGGTCGCTCCCAAAAAAGTAGAAAACGTCAAAGACAAAGTGAGCGAGGAGGGAAGAACTGTAATAGATTACTACACAAATATCGTCAAAGAGTACGGTAGTCATAAAAAAGCCGCCACTCCTCTGTATTTGAACACGGAGGATCTAAAAAGTGTGGCTGAGAAGCAGCAGCACGACTCGAAAGATAAAACGCCTAACGAGAAGAAACCCCTCAAAACTAAGAAGGCGGCTGCGGCCAAGACGACGGACAACCAGCTAGCGGTTCCGAACAAAGTCAACTCTAAGCAAAAAGCCAACTCCAAACCTGCCAAAGTAAAGACACAACAGAGCGCCGAAAAAGCCAAGACCCGATCCGTGAACAGGGTGAAGCCACAGAATAGCATCGAAAAACCGAAGCCCGACAAAGGAAAAGCGATCGCCAACAGTTCGCCGCCGCAGGAAGCTGCGACCAAGAAGGGCACCCAGCAGATCGTGCTGAAGAAGACCGAGCGCGCGACCGTCGTGATCCCCATCGACTACCAGGAGCTGGAGCAGCAGGCGGCCGTGGCCGTGCGCTCGGCCGTGGACTACGCGCTCGACTTGTGCCTGCTGCTGCTCGCCTTCTGGGTGTACTTCTTCAAGGACGAGCGCCTCGCCATCCCCTTCCTCGTGCTCATCATCTACCGCCAGCTCCAGGAGACGCTGCTGTTCGACGCGCCCGCCCTCGTCGCGCGCTACACCCCCAGCTGGCTCAAGAAGAAAACTTCTTGACCTTTCCAAAAGACATGTTGTGTTAATCTGATCGTATCGTGAACTTGTATGTTGTGTGATCATGTGATTTACTTATTTAATTAAAATGTTACGTTTAATGTATTACAAATTTCGTTCTAATAAACGTGAAGCTGTCTAAAACTAGTTGGCGATGCCGTCTCGCCGATGAGTCGTTTGAATTTTTGGAAATTTATTTTTTTACAAAATTAACATGTTCGATTACCGATCCACTCTCTCCGTGTTCCCGGCGTGCGCCCGGTTCATCTCCCAGTTCCGGGTGCCGCTGTCGGACTGCACGGGCGGGGCGCGCGCGCGGCGCGTGGTGGACCCGCGGGCGTGCGCGCGCCGCGACACCGGGCTCGTGCTGGGCGTGTACTTCAACGAGAACGTGCGCGCCGGCGAGCCCGCCGTGCTCACGGCCGCCGCGCAGGCCTACGACCGCCGCGCCGGCGGCAAGCTGTGGCGCCAGCTCAAGCTCGCGCCCGCGCCGCGCCTGGGCGAGTGCCGCGTGTTCTACGACGTCGACCCGCACTTCGGCTACGTCGCCGTCGCCGGGCTCGGCACCGAGTGCCTGCGGTACAACTCCGTCGAGAAGCTGGACGAGAGCAAGGAGGCCATCCGCGTCGCGGCCGGCGTCGGCGCCAGGGCGCTCGCGAAGTTCGAGCCGTCCTCCATTCACGTGGAGTCGTTCGGGAACGCGGAGGCGGCGGCCGAGGGCGCCGCGCTGGCCGTGTGGCGGTTCGAGGAGTACAGGTCCCAGGAGCGCGGCCGCATCGTCCCGAAGTCGCTGCTGCACCTCTACGAGGACTGCGACGTCGACGGCTGGAACACCGGCAAGATGAAGGCGGAGTCCCAGAACCTGGCCCGGTTCCTGCAGGAGATGCCCGCCAACCGCCTGAACCCGACCGAGTTCGCCAAGATAGCGGTGGACCTGCTGTGCGAGATCGACGTCAACGTGGAGGTGCGGACGCAGGGCTGGGCGGCGGCGCACGGGATGGGCGGCTTCGTGGCCGTGGGCAAGTCGTCGGTGCAGCCGCCGCTGTACGTGGAGATCAGCTACTACGGCGCGGGCGAGCGCGCGCGGCCCGTGGTGCTGATCGGCAAGGGCGTGACGTTCGACAGCGGCAGCCTGGACCTGAAGCCGGCGCGCGAGCTGCGCCACATGCGCGGCGACATGGCGGGCGCGGCGTGCGTGCTGGCGGTGACGCGCGCGGCGGCGCGGCTGCGGCTGCCCGTCAACGTGCGCGGCATCCTGCCGCTGTGCGAGGTCATGCCCAACGGCGGCAGCCCCAAGTTCGGCGACGTGGCGCGCACCGCCGGCGGCCGCTCCGTGCACATCCGCCTGCCGTCGCGCGAGGGCCGCCTGCTGGTGGCCGACAGCCTGCTGCACGCGCGCGGCTACTGGCCGCGCATGATCGTCGACATCGGCACCATGTCGCGGGAGCTGCTGCACACGCTGGGCGGCGCCGCGTGCGGCTGCTACTCCAACTCGGAGGAGCTGTTCCGCTACCTGGAGGCGGCCAGCGGGTACACGGGCGACCGCGTGTGGCGCATGCCGCTGTGGGGCTTCTACGAGGAGCGCGTGCGGAACTGCGAGACGGCGGACGTGGCCAACGCGGCGCGCCACCGGTACGGCGACTCGCCCAACTGCGCCGCCTTCCTGCGCCAGTTCGTGTGCGACAGCCAGTGGCTGCACCTCGACACCTACAACGTGGCCTACTCCAAGGGGCTGGACTTCCCCTACCTGCAGCGCGGCATGACGGGCCGCCCCACCCGCACCGTCATCGAGCTCATGTACCAGCTCCTCGCCGATTCGAAGCTGTGACCGTTCACTAACATGTGCCGTCATTTTGTCCTATCTATTCGCGTTGTTGTAAGAGACAAATTTTCGAAGTTTTTATTTTTGACGTTAATAACGAATAAACCTTGTAACATAGAATCTGTTTTTATTTCGATTTCCAGATACAATTTTGTAAAAACACTCCGAACCAGTTGGAAAAGTGTATCTATCAAAGAGATACTAAAGAAATTTAATTGAGATAAACTGTAACAGAAACAATTCAAACATTGATTTATTCGTTACATAATTATTAATTCCGTTTAGTTTGATCGTCAAACTGGCGCTTTACAAATGTTTCGTTGTGTAATCGCACACACGCGGCGAAGCGCTGCACGGCCGCGTCACAGCAGAGCGTCTCCCCGCGGTGGCAGCGGTAGCAGGCGGCCACGGCGCGGCGCTGCGCCTCGCAGGCCCGCCCCGCGGGGCCCCCGGGGGCTTCGGGGGCCTCGCAGGCCAGCCCACCGGGGGCCTCGGGGGCCACTACCTTCGCCATCCCGGCCACCGCGGACGCGCACGCCGCCAGCTCCCTGTAATGCTCCCTCAACTTCAAGCGAACTTCGTCGACAAAAACCGCATTATCCTCCTCTCCATGTAAACCCTGAAGTACGTCTTCAGGTAAATCATCCTTCTTATTGCAGACTTCATCCTCACACTCGCACATCAAAATAATTTCGATATTGAATATCCTAAACAGGCATGACTCGGGTGATGCGACTGAAATCGCGGTGGCAATGAAACGCGAACTCGATTATATGTGGTTTATTAAGATAAAGACTATGCCATAATTAATATGTAGAACTAGAAACACAATGGCACTAATTTTTTATTAATAAAATTTTAAAATATATTAAAACAAAAACGTCACAATGATACTTAAATATAAAATAGGAATTTTGTGATTTAACTTAATTACTTTCAAATTAGAATACTTATAATTAATAAATGCACGTAAATTACAAATTAAACTTAACTTTACAACTGAAGACTAAAACATTTTTGGTTAAAGAAATTATACAAATGGCAAATTAGAATACGTAACATGGCACGCATCACTTACGTCTAATTGATTAGATACACATAGCACTACGTGGGCGTCGGACGCTCATAAACTCAGTCAACATTTCAATTTGGATATGTCACCAACCAATTGTAAAAATAACATTAATTTTTATCAGATCCAAAAGCGAACATTAAAACAATGGGGTCTCTCAAATTTGGGCTGTAATGTCGTAATTAAAATTTGTAAATGCATTATTGAAATGCGTGGGAGGAATTTAGGCTTACATTTAAAATCCAATAAATATGACGTACAGCTATATCGACATTAGTATTAATTACATTGAGATATTATTTCAAATTAGCCCAGACGAGTACAAGGGGTCCGGTTTCGATTCCCGTGGATCATAAATGAGATGTAATTGTTTTCCTCCAATTACCAGGGCGGTGCCAGCGGTGTAACAGTCCAACCAAGCCCGGCCGAACAAAAGGCTAGTTCCGACACTGCTTATCCCAGTGTAATTAATCTAATGTGACCATAAATGTGGATTATATTAAATACAACATCAATACATCAAAGAGTTAGGATGAGACGCTACAGAGTACGGACACGGGCAGTAACAACCCGTGCGAACTAACTCGAGATCCCTCCGAATCGGATAGAAACCAGCGCTTCGAATCCTGCATGAAGCCAAATCTTTACAGTTCCCCGGAAGCAGTAGTGCGTCAATTGACAACCTTCCATATTCGTATTCATGACATCGAGACGAGAATTTTGGCAAATGCTTCAGGTGTGCGGTGGGTGACGACTGGTCACCGCCTCACTACAATATGGCGGCCTGCTTTGTTCTATATTGAATACTAGCTTTCCGCCCGCGGCTTCGCCCGCGTGGAATTTTGTCTGTCACAGAAAAACTTTATCGCGCGCGTCCCTGTTTCAAAAACCGGGATAAAAACTATCCTATGTTCTTTCCCGGGACTCAAACTATCTCTATGCCAAATTTCATCAAAATCGGTTGCGAGGTTTAAGCGGGAAAGCGTAACAGACAGACAGACAGACAGACAGAGTTACTTTCGCATTTATAATATTAGTTGGGATAAACAGTAACAAAATAAGTTATAAAATTATTGAATATAATAACGAAATTCCATTGTTTAAACTTATAAATTATACTTTGTGTATTACACTGAGAAGTTACCCGTTATAAATACAATGAAAAATATATAGACCGAAAACAGTCAAGATTTTACCTAATACAAGAGTCCCTCGCGGGCCATTACATACCTGCGTCATTTATTGTTACAAAATTCGAAAAAATTTTGAAGTAATTTGATATTTAGTTCATGTATTAGGATGAAAAATTAAACGATCTTGCCAATTTGAAAGATTTGTCTAACAAATATTTCGAATCGCTGGACGTTGTTATCTACATACAAGACTTCAATATCAGGACAAACTTACGTCTAATAGTGCTCGAGAGCAGAATAGGGGTGCCTTGGCTTGATAGGCCCAGCTTCATCATTCCCAACAAGGGAACGATGCAAAAAGTGTAAAAGATATATAAAAACGACAATGATAATGAGATTCATAAAGAAATCGGATAAAATCGATCGATTTTGAAATCATATCAAAACGAGGAATGTAACGTAAAATAGAAGTTGATTTTAATTTGAGTCAGTGTTGTCAATCATTGTTGGATGTTATGGATATCCGTAACCGTAACCGAAACTATCAGATATCCGAAATAAAAAAATATCCGTAACCGTAACCGGAACCGATTCAAAAGTTTTGGATAGTTTCTGGTAAAGGCGGAGTCTAAATCTTAATATTTTCAATATTTGTTACTTGTCTGGCATCCCCTGGCACCATTCTGATATCAACACAGGTACCGTCATAGCACATAGAGTGTCGAGCAGCACGTTCCATTTTAATTTAACCCCTTTAAAATTCTAATATCCGTAACCGAAATTATCCGAAACTTTCGGATAATCCGAAATGATTTACTATCCGTAACCGTAACCGGTACATTATTTTAATATCCGCAGCCGTATCCATAACCGAAACTTCATATCCATAACATCCCTGTTGTCAATACTGTCTCGCATCGAAGCCAACTCGCCCGTTGGGATCACGCCGACGCGGCTACAGCTCGGCTCGCAGCTTGCGAGCGGGCAGTACCGGCGAGTCCTCGGTGTCGCTGATGTAGCCATCCTGCCCGGTGTAGTGCGTCGGGTGCACCAGCAGCGGCGCCGCCGATAGCGCCACCAGGTCCCGCCGCGGGAAATGAGCCTTCCACGTCGCGCTGGAACACACACGTGGTGTCAAACGGAACGTAAGGGAGTGAGTGAGAAGGAATGTATGAGTGAATCAGTTAAGTCTTGATCACACGTACCAAGCAAACGGGCGAGACAGTGCTCTCGGCCGAGTACTCAGTGTGTATGAACATTACGCCGAGTGCTCGCCCGTTTACTCGGTACGTGTGATCAAGGCTTAAGAAAATCGTGATTTTGGAAGAAGACAGAACAGAATTACGACGGAACGAGGACATTCCCTTTCTTGTGTTATCCCGAAAAAATCAAATAAAGCTGGAGAAATATTACCGCTTTTCAATTCTTACACACATGTTCGTAGAAGCAGAGTTAGACAAAATCTATGCATATAAAAGAACTCACTCATTGCGAAACAACAAGTGCTATTAGTCTCATATTTTGCACGAGGGTTCGTTTTAGAACATAGGTGCTCACTAAGACGGGATTTTGCAAAACTAGTCACTAAAAGTTCATAAAGGGTTATTTATAAACTTTAACCCCTTAGGGCCTAAGGGGTTAAAACGGGATCCACGCGTACGAAGTCGCGAGCGGCTGCTAGTATTTGTAAAGGACATTGTCAGAAACCGCCTAAAAAACCGCCCAAAAACATTAACCCATCATAATTATTTTCTATTTTTTTTAATACATTAAGCACCCTTTCATTCTAATGGACACTTAAGCATTGAAAAATTAAATAAATAAGTCTTTTAACGTTTATTCTATAATACTATTACAACTTCCGGACGTTTTGGTGCGTGGCATGGTCTAAAACCTATCAAGTTCCATAATTTTTGCCGATAAAATCTGTACGAGGCATTACCGTACTTTATTGCTGGGAGTCCATGTATAGTGATGTTCCTGCGGCCATCATAGACAATAAAATATCGATTTTGAAAATAAAATAAATCGATTAAACTGCTTTGAAGACTAGATTTGCGTTAAAAGCTAAAAAGATATTGACAGTTTGACACTATTACAAGAAGATATCTAAAGTGTCCAACTGGTCGAAGGTCGTAAATAAAATAAAAATAATTAGGACCATAAACTGATATTCATGGTATCATAACTGTAAAAGTGTCAGAATCCGATGTTGAATCCAATGCCAGTTGAAGTGTGAGAAACATATATTAAAAGTGGAATGCCGAGTTGTATTTCTAAAACTTGTTCTATTATTTTATACTATTTGGCTGCGACTCGGCGTGACGACAATACAAAACATTTTTCGCGAATCGGTGTTCATACATTCACACAATACATTAGACGCCATGTTGTCATAAACGACATATTATAAAATCGCTGTGATTTAATATTCTTAATCATTAATTTTATGGCAAGTGTCCATCAGGAATCGTTGTTCTTACACACAGAATCGTATTATTTCGCTTTCGGGTAGTAATATGTCAAAATTGTTGGTTCTTTAGGCGAACAATGTATGGAGAACGAACATTGTCCTTTGTATAGTTGTAACTTAATTTTCAAAATTGAGCGATAAAATATGTCACCCCTCCCGTGCCGCTCCCGATACCTCAGGCACGGACTTAGTTAAGCGAAACCTATAGGATCTGTCTTTAAGTTAATAAATAAACGTAATTGAGTCTTTTTTATCATAAAACCAAAAACTATACAATTCCTCAAACACCAGATTAACCCTTAATTTCTATATTGAGATTTTGCGCTTGAGCGTGTTTATTTTCTACCTAAACCTTATTTTATAAACTTAAGCACGCTCAAGCTAAAATGCTCAATTCAGAAACTGGGGGTGATTGGGAGATCATTCAATTCAGAAAAGTCGTTGCGTTAAACTCGATCAAGAACAACAAAATGACACTCGTTCGAACCACTAAAAACCAGTGAAGTACCCAAAATTGCCAAAAAGATCGCAACACGTTTTTGATACAATTGGAATAAGGTTATTATTTATTTATTAGGTATGTTATCGATCGATTGGGAGCGGCCTGCGTCCAGCGCTTCCCTGCTACCTTTACGATGTCGTCTATATCGTTCGATCGATCAACGTGGAAAGCATTAGGGGAGGCCTATGTTCAGCAGTGGACGTCATATGGCTGAAATGATGATGATGATGTTGATGATGATGATGAGGTATGTTATGTTGTCAACTTAGCCACTTTGGGTGTAACGAACTATTTGCCGCTGAGGCTACAAGACGAGCCACTCACTTGGGGTGCTGGTCGAACATGATGGGCAGGAACTCGTCCACGGGCAGCACGCGCGCCAGCGGCTGCGCGGCCAGCAGCTTGGCGGCGCCGCGCCGGCTGAGCAGGGAGCCCGCGAGGCTACCAGACGAGCCACTCACTTGGGGTGCTGGTCGAACATGATGGGCAGGAACTCGTCCACGGGCAGCACGCGCGCCAGCGGCTGCGCGGCCAGCAGCTTGGCGGCGCCGCGCCGGCTGAGCAGGGAGCCCGCGAGGCTACCAGACGAGCCACTCACTTGGGGTGCTGGTCGAACATGATGGGCAGGAACTCGTCCACGGGCAGCACGCGCGCCAGCGGCTGCGCGGCCAGCAGCTTGGCGGCGCCGCGCCGGCTGAGCAGGGAGCCCGCGAGGCTACCAGACGAGCCACTCACTTGGGGTGCTGGTCGAACATGATGGGCAGGAACTCGTCCACGGGCAGCACGCGCGCCAGCGGCTGCGCGGCCAGCAGCTTGGCGGCGCCGCGCCGGCTGAGCAGGGAGCCCGCGAGGCTACCAGACGAGCCACTCACTTGGGGTGCTGGTCGAACATGATGGGCAGGAACTCGTCCACGGGCAGCACGCGCGCCAGCGGCTGCGCGGCCAGCAGCTTGGCGGCGCCGCGCCGGCTGAGCAGGGAGCCCGCGAGGCTACCAGACGAGCCACTCACTTGGGGTGCTGGTCGAACATGATGGGCAGGAACTCGTCCACGGGCAGCACGCGCGCCAGCGGCTGCGCGGCCAGCAGCTTGGCGGCGCCGCGCCGGCTGAGCAGGGAGCCCGCGAGGCTACCAGACGAGCCACTCACTTGGGGTGCTGGTCGAACATGATGGGCAGGAACTCGTCCACGGGCAGCACGCGCGCCAGCGGCTGCGCGGCCAGCAGCTTGGCGGCGCCGCGCCGGCTGAGCAGGGAGCCCGCGAGGCTACCAGACGAGCCACTCACTTGGGGTGCTGGTCGAACATGATGGGCAGGAACTCGTCCACGGGCAGCACGCGCGCCAGCGGCTGCGCGGCCAGCAGCTTGGCGGCGCCGCGCCGGCTGAGCAGGGAGCCCGCGAGGCTACCAGACGAGCCACTCACTTGGGGTGCTGGTCGAACATGATGGGCAGGAACTCGTCCACGGGCAGCACGCGCGCCAGCGGCTGCGCGGCCAGCAGCTTGGCGGCGCCGCGCCGGCTGAGCAGGGAGCCCGCGAGGCTACCAGACGAGCCACTCACTTGGGGTGCTGGTCGAACATGATGGGCAGGAACTCGTCCACGGGCAGCACGCGCGCCAGCGGCTGCGCGGCCAGCAGCTTGGCGGCGCCGCGCCGGCTGAGCAGGGAGCCCGCGAGGCTACCAGACGAGCCACTCACTTGGGGTGCTGGTCGAACATGATGGGCAGGAACTCGTCCACGGGCAGCACGCGCGCCAGCGGCTGCGCGGCCAGCAGCTTGGCGGCGCCGCGCCGGCTGAGCAGGGAGCCCGCGAGGCTACCAGACGAGCCACTCACTTGGGGTGCTGGTCGAACATGATGGGCAGGAACTCGTCCACGGGCAGCACGCGCGCCAGCGGCTGCGCGGCCAGCAGCTTGGCGGCGCCGCGCCGGCTGAGCAGGGAGCCCGCGAGGCTACCAGACGAGCCACTCACTTGGGGTGCTGGTCGAACATGATGGGCAGGAACTCGTCCACGGGCAGCACGCGCGCCAGCGGCTGCGCGGCCAGCAGCTTGGCGGCGCCGCGCCGGCTGAGCAGGTAGCCCAGCGTCCAGTACGAGTAGCGCGGACGCGTCGTGTGCTGCGTCACGTACGACTCCTCGCCGTTCTGCAGGATCTTGCGCCCGATGTAACTGGAATATTATTTCAATAATAAATCCTCTGGTCACCCAAAGGGCGATGGACCGGGCTATGCTCGGAGTTTCCCTGCGTGATCGAATCAGAAATGAGGAGATCCGCAGGAGAACCAAAGTAACCGACATAGCTCGCAGAATTGCTAAAATCAAGTGGCAGTGGGCGGGGCACATAGCTCGTAGAGACGATGGCCGTTGGGGCAGGAAAGTTCTCGAGTGGCGACCACGGGCTGGAAGACGTAGCGTGAGCAGGCCTCCTACTAGGTGGACCGACGATCTGGTGAAGGTCGCGGGAAGAGCCTGGATGCGGGTAGCGCAGGACCGTTCATTGTGGAAAACCTTGGGGGAGGCCTTTGTCCAGCAGTGGACGTCATTAGGCTGAAAAGAAAGAAAGAAAGAAATCCTCTGGAATTCCGAGCGGGAGCACCGACGATTTGGTGAAGATCGCGGGAAAAACCTGGATGCGGACTGCGCAGGACCGGTCGTTGTGGAAAGCCTTGGTTAGGCCTTTGTCCAACAGTGGACGTCATTTGGCTGAAACGAACGAACGAATAAATCCTCACAGGACAAACTTGACCTTCACTAGTTGAGTTTTTATTGGTGGTCAAGCTGTAGATCCTGGCTACACAGGGGTTGCAGCGGTGGGGACGAGAGGTGGAAATAGTCCCCTGAAACCCTCATGGTAAGCTAAAATATGCTTGTGTTATGAGTGGGTTCACCACAATGGCCACACGGTAGCGGGGATCGAACCCGCGTTCCTCGGATCACGAGACCAGTCTCGAGACGATCGATGAACGACGAACGTTGGGCTATCGTCGCGTCGTCGATGTCCAATAAATAAACTTCAGGGTGAATTTTAAAGTACATTGTATAAATTGGTTTGCAAATTCGGTGCCGATGCCAAGACAATACTAAGTTGTGTTTTATCGCCTATTAGTGACTGAGTTTCTTGCGCTACTCCTCATTGGCCTATCTATCATCCCGAAGCAGTGGAAGGGATAAAGTAATACTGGGCTTGACTGAAATGAGTAATAAAAAGCGCTCTTTAAAAGCCTATTTGCAGAAAATAAATTACTTTTATACGCCATCTTGGGTACTATACTCAACCTTCACTGCTTAGGTATCATTCGAGGTCAAACTGTAGATCCTGACTGTAAGAGTTGCAGTGGTGAGATTTGGAAATTAGGTGACACTAGTCCATTTAGTTTTCCTTTCCCGATAAATGGTTGTTTCCAACACAAAATAGTTCTTCATTTCGAACCATTAGTTCCTAGGATAAGGCGTTCCACCACTAAGCTATAGAACTTAAAGCCAACTTACACCAGATCCCAATCAACCGTCTTTAGCTCCTCCATGAGCAGCGCGAACCGCTGACGAAAGTGCGCGACGAAGTGGATGTCGTCCTCGAGCACCAGCACCACCTCCAGCTGCTCCGACACCACCTGCCCATCAAGAAAGAAAGATACATTTATTACAATGGACATCACACAAATACAGGCAATTACATAGACATGACAGTGGCACATAATAATGGAAGAAGAAAAAATAAAAACAAGAGTAAACTGAGCAGTGCCACCCATCCACCAACAAGATGCCCACTGCAACGGGACCCCACTCAGCATATGCCGTGGCCCACGGTGACGAAGGCCACGGCGCTGGTTTTCAGTGTGCCCCATGCCGAGTGAGGGTCACGGACCATTGGTAAAATAAATAAAATACTAAGCTGCATAAAATTGTCTAGATAAACATACATAAATAGTAATATTAGTGCACAGATAAATACAAAAGGCGGGAAATCGGTAAGGAGCATCACAGCTGTAACTAGCCGAGAAATAAATTATTACGCGGTCTTAGGCCCAGAACAGACGGTGAAACGCAACTGCAACTTTCTGATGATTCTTATGAATGAAACTGAAATTGAAAGTTTCAAACTGGTCGCGTCATGTGTGGTCTCTCAACGGACGCTATGGCAGAAACTTAGATGCAACTCAAAAGCTGCTAGTTATAGCAGTTGCAGTTGCCTTTCACCGTCTGTTCAGGGCCTTATTCGACCGCTCGCAGGGCCATCTTTAAACTACTGAAGGCCCTGGGCATTTAAAAACCAAAAGGACCTTTTCCTCTAACGAGTTTGCCCCCTTGATGGTGGGGCCCTGTGCACTTGCCTAAAGTGCCCAGTGGGAAAGAGGGGCCTGACCGCTTGGGCTTTGATGGGTGAAGAAATGTGCTAAAGAAAACAGATGTGAACAGTTCAGACTCTATTGACCTTGGTATTCGATTGACTGACTTCCTCTGAAGAGGCGACGGAGACTATTTTTCAGTGCTGGAAATATGTATGTCCAAAATTGACTGTTTTATACTAAAGGACAGGCTCAACTTAGAGCTGTTTTGTTAATATTATGAAAATACGAAGACTTCTGAAAGAATAAGCCGATGTTTACTTGATAAGGAATAGCTTTCTAAGGCATATCTTATAATCTGTTAAACCGTCCTTGTTGCCAAATAATTTGTCGCTCAAGTCTTTACAAGAGCACTACTAATCACCTCAGCCTATGCGAACGCGATAGACAGTAAAAAAAACAGAACTTGAACCGTTACATTCGAACTTTGCACGTTAAATAAAGGAATATGTTAAGTACCTGGTTCCAAATCATGTAGTGGCTCAAAAAGCACCCGATCTCACCCGCCTTCATGGGCCTGAAACAAAAACATTTAAAAAAAATTATACAAATTAAAAACAAATCTCATACCTACCACACTACATTCCAGTCATCATCATCAATAACAATATACCTATTATTACTGGACGTGAAGTATCCCAAAAAGCCTAAACTTATAATCTATGCTGCGACGTATATCACGCATGCGCGTGCAATATCGATCGGTCGTTGCCGTGGCCGCCATTTTACAGCGCTTGACCTCGCGTAGACCTCAGCGGCTAAATTAATTTAGCATCTGGCAGCGATATGCGTGCCTGGCCAGCTATCTTATTCCCTTTTTATTTGTCTATTAAGTACCGTTTTTATTTTCGAATTCATCTGCTTAGATTGTACTACAAAAAGAGCTTAATTATATACCTTTACGCACTTTATTGTAGAGACAACAACATGTCAAGTCACGTTCTAATACGTGCGATTATGCAACATAATGCAACAAAAATTTTAAGCAGTACCTATTCTAAATGGTTATAATTTCTTCCAAATTAATGCAATACGTCGTAAATTCGTCGGTGTTTACCTGGAAAAGCTTTTTTATAAGGATAAGATTGTATAATCACCGTTTGTGGTAGGGATCTTCGTAGCCCGGCATGAGCTTGATCTTGTGCTTGCGCAGGTCATTCATGTCCAGGGTTCTGAAACAACGATACAACTTCTTCAAATAACTATAACTAGCTGACCCGGCGAACTTTGTTCCGCCTTAATGGCAATAAATAAGCAGACTTTTTTTTTAATTTCGAACGGGATAAAAAGTATCCTATGTCCATCTCCTGGCTCTAAACTACCTCCCTGACAATTTTCAGCTAAATCGGTTCAGCCGTTCTTGAGTTATAAGCGAAGTAACTAACACGACTTTCTTTTATATATATAGATGTGCTGTTATTTATTCTCGCTAAGCTCAGGATTGCGTGTTTTTATTTCATTCAGCTTTTGCCCATACAGGGGTGCCACAAGAGTGAAGACAAATGCTTCTAACTTAATTTATAAAATTGTAAACTTGTGGAAATAAAAGCTTTTTATTATTATTTATTTATTTATTTCATTCAGCATTAGTCTTCGCTGTGCTGCATTTAAAAATTTGACTTCGCTTGCATTTTAGGACTAATCTTGCACTGTCGCGCTTAAAAACTCAGCCAGTTCGCATTAAGAGTGACGTCAGCAAAACAAAAAACGACGCTGATTTCCTTGGTCGTCCATACCTTCCATCGACAGCCTTGATCAGCGTGACGTCCATTCCGAGCTCCTTGAAGCTGAGCTCCATGAGGCGGCGTCGCTCGGGACGGCGCTCCAGGTTGATCATGAATATTTCGCAGCAGCCGAGCCGGGCCGGCGGCGGGCGGCGCACGAAGCCGGCCAGCAGAGGATCCAGCGGCAGCGGCGAGTGGCGCCCTAGGGCCAGCAGCTTCACGTTGACCGTCAGCTCGCGCTCGTCGTCGGCGTCGTCGGTGTCCGACGCCGGCACCGGCACTAACCCGTACTCGTGGTCGTTGCAGATGTGCATGGCGATGCCTGGAGTTTCACAAGTTGAGTTTGAAAAGATTGTTATAGTCCCAGACCCAGCTAGTCTTATGGTGCGTCCACACTGGGCGAATATGCTCACGCGGCAAACTCGACATCTTGCTTACTCAAGAGCAGGGTGAGCAGGATGTCGAGTTTGCCGCGCGAGCATATTCGCCCAGTGTGGACGCACCATAAGACTAGTGAAAATTTTGACTACGTTATAATTGTTAAAGAATTAAAGTGACTGGCCTAAATATCTTGACTAATACTAGAATGCAACTGGATTGATTTCCAATAAATGATACGCTATAGTTGAGCGACTGATTATATGGGACCCCAACCACAAGAAAACAGAAAGAAATTCTAGAATCTACAGATTCAGGAATGAGAAACATTTTTGATGAAAAATGGCTCCATCAACTCTATACTATAACTCTTAGTTTGAGAATAACAAGTTACAAGTTTTCCAAAGAATTTTCAATCTCACTGTGGTTGTTGGCGTTCACCGCGAACGCGATGATGTCATCAAGCGGACCGTCGTAGCGGGCGGGGCGGTAGGAGAGCGCGTCGGACACCTGCTTCTCCAGGTGCACCAGCAGCGCCGAGTGCACCATCGGCACGGCGAAGCACCCCTGCGTGGCCCGCTCCAAGATCGGCGTGTAGTCCTCCGTGCGCTTATAGTAGAAATCATCCGACATACCGCACCTATAATCATGACACAGAACTATTATTATCGAATAGTTACCAAGAAACAAGCATGCAAGACAAAAACGCAAACAAAATCCAAAGCGAGCCAAGCTTGATCACAGGCATGCCCTATAGTCTGTTTCTTTGCCAGGGGCATAACTGGTATGATGATAAACGCTTTAAACGTTTTTTATTTATTATTATAAACACTGCTGCACCAGGCCATGAATACGTATTTTTACAAATAATTCGCACAAATAGAGATCATGTTCTGGGCTAGACAGTCTCCCACTCATTGTAAATTCTATTAGAAAGCCTTGTGGAGTGTTGCAAATTATAATTTGGTATTAAAATCTATGCTAACATTGTGTGCTTGTTACATTTTCACGACGTATCTGTGTTTACCGAGCTGTGGACAAAGCTAATCCTTTATTTATACCATACATTGTATAACTACTGCAAATGAGGATGTGACGCGGCTATGGATGTCTCTAGATGTTAAAAATGCACCGGCCAGTGCGTCTGCCGCCCACAGCACGCGGCTGCGCTGACAAACGATCGATACGGCCTTTATCACGTATCGCCGATAGAATATATTTATCACTATCATTTAAAATGATACCCCATTTCTGAAATTAATTACTTTGGATTTGCAGCTTCATCTTATTTAACATCCAAGACAACAAGATTCAAACTTACATTCAGACAAGGGTATTATTATGTGGAAATGCAAACACCAATTTGATCCCTTATGATATGAAAAGAACAGTGAATGTGTTTCAATGAAAAATTGTGTTTTCGTTACCAGTTTATAAATCATCCCCAAAACATGATTTGTATTATTTAACATGTTTACTAGTGTTAATTAAAAGAACAGCCTGAAAGCTTCACAAATGCAAATAATAAAAGCTTGGAACATCCAGACTCGAAACATGCTCATAAATATATGAGTCTAACCAAAAGTTTGAGTAGCTGCCGTCTGAGATGAGCATAGGAGCTACAATGGTGAGGTCTTTTTTCACCAGAATTTTAAGCGTATCCTTGTTGGTAAGAAACACGTCGGCATCAAGCATCTGCGGGAAAGTCACAGATTTCAGGCAGGCCAATAAATACATTACAATAGTCTTTTTTGTTTTCATTTATCAGTTACCAAAAAATCTATGAAAGATTTTGATGTTATGTACAAATTCAATTATTACTGATTGATTTCTTACTAATGTCGATTCGAAATAAAAATATTTTTACAATTTCTATAGTATTGGTGAACTTACAAATATGTAATCCGCCCATATCTTCCGCATGTAGTCCAGTGCTTCTTCTCTTAGGTCTATAACGTGCGCAAAGCGTTGTTCACTCCAGTGAGTGGACCGCACCTCATCAGGAAACAATTTTCCTGAGGTGGAGCTGTTCATAGATAGATGTACGCCATTGTATTCTAGACCATACTGCTCGACCCATTTGTCAAGAATCTTATCGCTATCATCCTCATTGTGATCACTGCTTATCCTGTGGAGAGAAAAACATGCAGTGAGATGTTCCAAGGGTATTGTAGTGTTATTGGACTGAGCAATTTGTAGTAAATGCTTCCTGTTGTGTTCAGGTGCATAATATGTCACTGGCCATTATGTCCAGAGACTGAATTACAAAAATTCTACATAAAGGTACATAGCCCTGAATCTAGTTTACAAAGTTTTTCTAACTGGATGTAGTTACATATGGCACTCCTGTCCCGTTTACAATATGACGGATCAGTTAGATGGTGAGTTGCAATCATTACAATCATTATGATGGCTATCTGTAAAATTTTATACCTAGGAATTACTAACAGAAAAAGGACATTGTAAATGACTACAAAGGTATACAAATATACAATGCCATTTTCAGGTCCCAGTCATGACTAGGCGAAAATATGATTTACGATCGTCAGGAGCATGCGTCGACGAACTTTATTAGGGCCGCGAGAATTAGGTCATAAAGTATTGATCGCCGGACCCTAGACAAAGGCAGGCTATAGATTTAAACTTAAGTACTATGTAGGTACGTACCAGATGTAGATGCGGTCCTTGGGGTAATCCAAATTATACAAACAACTTAGGAAATAAGGTAGAGTGTGGGCTTTGTTCCGCACAAGAATTGAAATGCCCACAGTCGGCCATTTCAAGATAGTTTCGGATGCGGCAACATAGGAACTAACTAAAGAGATTACCAGAACAGAATGAAGGCTAAGATAACAAAACATTGCGCGTAAAGAATATTAATCACTGTGGGTCCTAAATAATCAAGCACTGGGTCTGGTTCGGGTTCCGGCGGCCCCTCACCATTATAAAAATCTTTATCAATACGGGTGAACATGCAGATGCAGAAACTTGCACGACTGCCGACCCGACTGACAGGAGTGACAGGCAGGCAAATCAAAGAAGAACGGTCACGCCCCATACAAAAAAAACCCAGACCCGACAGAAACGAGACATGCCTCAGTTNCTTTAATTGACACGCTCCAGGATGTGATTGCCAGGCATTCCAACACAGTAACTTTCACCAGAAGAAATAGGCCATTGAAGCCTTGGATCACAATGAGCCTCGTCAAATGCTTCCAAAAGAGAAACCGAATGCAATTACTTGTTAGGAAAAATCCTCACGATGCTGATCTAAAATACTCATTTATTAATTACCGTAACATATGTAACCAAATAGCTAAAAATCTAAAATCTGACTACTACAAACAAAAGCTCAAACATAATTACAAAAACAATAAAAAAACATGGGAAACTGTCAAAGAAATCTGCCATATAAGAAACGTTAGATCAGAAGCCGATGCATTGTTGAAATTGTTGCCTACACCAGAAAAGTCACTCGACTTAGTCAACAGTTACTTTACATCTATAGGAAAGGAACTTGCTGCTGATATCTTAGCCAGCAGGGGTACTGATGAGTCACAATTACTAAAAACTCTCCCAAGCACTAGAAACTTAAATTCCTTTTGTATGTACCCAACAGACTTCATGGAGATCGATAAAATTATTCTAAACCTCAAAAACAGAGTATAGTAATATCCCTACTGAGCACAATAAGTAAAGTTATTGAAAAAGTAGTCAACTCTCGACTGACAAATTTCCTAGAGAGCAAACAACTTCTAGCTGTCAATCAATATGGATGGATTTAGATCTGGTCGAAATACAGAAGATGCCGTTACAAACCTCTCGAAGATTATAACTAGCTCACTTGATGGAGGCGAAAGATGTCTGGCTATCTTTCTAGACCTGAAAAAGGCATTTGACACTGTATCTATTCCACTACTCCTGCACAAAATGGAAGACCTGGGAATAAGAGGCATCACTCTGAAAAGGTTTAGAAGCTATCTCTCAAACAGAAGTCAAATAGTAAAAGTTGCGGATTCTGCCAGTTCCAGTCTGCCCGTTACCTACGGTGTACCGCAAGGCAGCACACTTGGCCCTACACTTTTTCTAGTGTATGCTAATAACTTGTGTGGGCTTCAGTTAGACAATGGCAGTGTGCTGGCATTTGCTGATGACACGGCGCTGGTTTTCCGTGGTAAGAGTTGGGCTGATGTCCAGAGATCAGCTGAGATGGGTCTCAACAAAGTGTTGAAGTGTCTTGAAGACAGCTAACTCTTAATATCCCCAAAACTAAATTCATTTGTTTTAAAATAAATAACGCAAAGAAACCTCCACCAGACTTTGTCATTAAAGCGCACACTCCATGTTGTTCTCTCAACAGCAATGCATCCATCTCTTGCAATTGTTCCCCATTAGTCCAGACGAGTTCACACAAATACCTGGGCGTAATCATGGACGAAAAGGACAATGGGCAAAATGGTACCCGGCTCCAATAGATATGTGTCTAGTATCGTTTGNTACCAATAATACGTTACAGATTATGGAAGCTGGTAACATTGAATTTTTGGATTTTGTAACTTCTCGTTTCCACCCTGTATAATCCGGATGTATCTCCAGGTCACCTAGATACATTCCATAGCAGCTATTTAGGTACATACATTTACCAATTTTGGTGATAAATAGGCATTTTGTATTAGTTTTTGTATGACGCCTGAACAAAAACAAAGGGTAATAATTTGGTGTTATACATAGATTTCGAATATAAAAAATATATAATTTAACTAATTAAGACATGACAAAAAAACTGAGGTATGTCTCGTTTCTGTCGGGCCTGGGTTACAGATGACCGTTCTTCTTTGCGAAGGATGAAGAATGGCTGGCATGCGGGAGGAGAGTGTGACATAGTGATGTACTCAATACTCAATATTATGTTTATTGCTCACTAACTGTTACTAGTACTAGTTAGTTATTTAGACACGGCGCATTACAAATAAGATTAGATTTACTTTAAAATTTGCTACAATTAATTAAGAACGTAAACCGTATTTGTTCTTATTTAAAGTCTTGAAATTAGATGACAAAGATAGTCTGTCTCATTATGGCAAAGGGCAACTGAGATTAGGCAATCAATATCCATCATATCTGGAGCGGCCATAATGCACTTTAAAGTAGAATTTATTATATTCTATGCATTATTTATTGCTAAAGCTTCAGCCAAACCAACGCGTGCGGATCCCGTCGTGGCCGCGTGGTGATGGAGATGGCCGATCACCGGCACGGCACCGACCGGGCACGTGCACAGATCGCCGCGACTAGGGTTGCCAGGTCCAAAAACACAAAAACCTTACTCTGTGCTTCATTTGGCCGGACATTTTACTCTAAAAGCCGGAAACTAGCTGTCAAAGTGACACCGCGATACAAATTTGTGATTTTCGTTCGTCGTCTAGTCGCGTTGTAGTTGAAAATATTTAGCGCAATCGGGGCACAATTCTTAATCCGAGTGTTCCCAAGAGTCAGAAAGACCCTCATCTTCGGCTTACCTTTTCTTACCTTCGGCTTTTACACCTTACAGGAATATGTTTTTGATGCTTTAATCAGTATAGTACACATAAATGTTTTCTGTTTTTGTTGCATGTACTAAATTGACTAAATTAAGTAGCTACCATCGGCAACAGTGTTAGCTGCCCATTGCCGGTCACGGCAAAAACGGAAATGGATAGTTAACACCGTGGCCGATATAGTACTAGTATCACCAATATCGATAAATGGCGCGCATCACTACTGGATCCAAGCTCAGCTCAGCTGACAGTGACAGTTGTTTTTCTCAATGGCCTCAATGGGGTGGGGATGTTAAATTAAATCAGTTTTGAAAAACTATTGAATAAAAATGTATTATTAGAAAAGTTAAGTCAGATTGAGAAATACCGGAGGATTTTTCCTACATTGATTATCACAATAAATAATGAAAATGTTTAGCTGCCTACTTTTTCTCGCTATAATTCCAATAATTACGTGTGAGGGTGGTGAAAACATCACATATTCGCAAGGTAAGTATTTTGTTTAATTTACCTACTTCCTTGATAAGTTAGAAATACGAAGAAAATTTTGCCAAAACACGTTGGAGAAAGAAAGAAAAATGTTTATTTAGTACCAAGTAAATCCTTATCCTTACTAATAATTAAAAATGCGAAAGTAACTGTCTGTCTCGTTTTCACGCCTAAAAAACTGAACCGATTTTGATAAAATTTGGCATAAAAATAGTTTGAATCCCTTGAAAGGACAATATAATTTTTATCCCGGTTTTTGAAACGAACGCGCGAGTATACTGACCGAAATATCTAATTGAGAGCTAGCACACATGTCCATGCGAACTTGTTGGTTCTCCGGGGGATCATCAAATCTTATTATCCTATTTATTTTAATTTCAGAAGAGTTCAAGTGTTCGTTGCCTGATGTCACCAGTCTGGATGATAACCTGGATGTCACTCGATTCAGGTCGGACTTCTCAAAAATATCCGAAGTAAGTATTAGAAAAATTAACATATTATTTTGAGGTTCAGAAATAAGTAAATGTAAGATGCACTGATGCTATGTTGACCTACAAGTGTTGTCCTTGGTTGCAGGTGAAGTTTCCTGGTCTAATAGGTCCACTGAATGAGAGGCTGATATGCAAAATTAAATGCATCGATGGAAACTGGGTCGGGCCACTCTGCTCGTCTACTCCAGGTAATCACTAAAATTCTTCAAATTCACTTGTGCTGCCATCAGTGCATAAAGGGCTCTCCGTCTAGGGTACATTGTATTGTAGTGCCTATACTGCCTTATTTATTGCATTTAATAACGTACTCTGACGCGCATAAAGTCAATTAAACTTTTAATTTACTAAACGTTGAATGTAATGTTTATTATTAATTCCACATTACATTCATTACAGATGGAAGGTTCCAGCCCATACTGCGCGAGTGTTTGTACCGCAATGAGCACCCTTTGCTAGCAGTATCCTTCAAAAATTCCTCTATTGATGTAAGTAAACCATGTGGTTTTAGTTAGTTGAAAAAAAAATCTTTTCATCTATTCATGCCTAGTACTGCTTTTTCTGTTTTTGGTGTTATTTTTTTTTATACATACAAATAAAATTATTCTTTGTTTGTAAGCTAGCTTAGTAGTATTGGTAGTAAGTTTGTCATTTTACGTTTTTAACAAGCATAACTGTAATGCAATGCGAAACTTGATATTGTTAAGTGAATGTTTTAAGATTTCTTGCTTTTTTATATTCTGTTTTTTTGTTTGTTTTGCGTTATACTAGATTTGTCTATTCTTTTGAACATTTTCTATCTAAAGTTTCTATCCTGTTGTACTTGTGCAGATTCACTTTTATTCACTTATGTTTTTTTTTGTTCTCCTGTTATCAACACCTATTTATGTCTGCCACATAGAAAAACTATTGCGCTGCAAAGTGCTGTATGATAATAACGCAATGCGAAAGTTTTTACTGTGCAGTAGTGTGCTTGAATGTGCGATCGTTTATTTGGCATGGCATTTATTAATTGTTTTTCTTTTGTCATTTTTATTGTCGTCGTTTGTAAAAGGCCTATGATCACCAGTGGACATCCTAAAATGATGATGATTATTGTCGTCTATATCGTGATTATATAAAAAATTATTGATTCTGTCACCGTCGCACTCCGATAACGTGCATCCTGTCCATATTAGACCGTGCGCTTACAGTCTTTTGTTACCTTACTGGGACACCATCGTTGTACAGGTCTATCTAATGACGGCCTAAGAAAATTGTAAAGGGTCGCAAAGGTACGACCAAACTCCTTGGCCGGTCATGGGCCGGTCATTGTCACTTTTTTTCTCTTGACTTTTTCTACTAAACTTGAACGAAAGTAATGTGATTTTTTATACAATATAATTTTCATTTTAAAATACACCATAAAGCCTTTCAATCATTAATCTCTCGTAGAGACGGTGATGTACCTATGTATTTCGTTAAAAGTCGTCAAGTTAAAGTAACTGGACACGAAAAATATCTGTCTCCACGGGTAGTGGCTGAAAAGAAAATATTCACTGGTAGCTT